TCGACTTGAGAATGGTCCAGGACAGACCGAAACGTCGTCATCCCTTCACCTAGCTAAATATATGACAGCTAAATAAGAACAAAGCAGTTCGTCCAGATGGAGTTTCACCATGGGTTCTGAGAGAATGTGCACCCGAGCTCAGCTTTCCACTTCAACTGATTTTTCAGGCATCCCTGTTTACAGGAGTTGTAGCTGATGTGTGGAAAAAGGCTAACATAGTTCCAATCTACAAAAGTGGAAGCAGGGAAGACCCCCCTTAATTATAGACTGGTATCATTGACAAGTGTAATAGTCAAAATATTGAAAAAATAATTAAAACTAAATGGGTAGAACACCTGGAGAGAAATTATATAATATCAGACAGACAGTATGGTTTTCGATCTGGAAGATCCTGTGTATCAAATTTACTCAGTTTCTATGATCGAGTAACAGAGATATTACAGGAAAGAGATGGTTGGGTTGACTGCATCTATCTGGACCTAAAAAAGGCTTTCGACAGAGTTCCACATAAGAGGTTGTTCTGGAAACTGGAAAATATTGGAGGGGTGACAGGTAAGCTTCTAATATGGATGAAAAATTTTCTGACTGATAGAAAAACGAGGGCAGTGATCAGAGGCAATGTATCGGACTGGAGAAATGTCACAAGTGGAGTACCACAGGGTTCAGTTCTTGTTCCAGTGATGTTTATTGTCTACATAAATGATCTAGCAGTTGGTATACAGAATTATATGAACATGTTTGCTGATGATGCTAAGACAATAAGAAGGATAAGAAACTTAGATGATTGTCATGCCCTTCAAGATGACCTGGACAAAGTAAGTATATGGAGCACCACTTGGCAAATGGAATTTAATGTTAATAAATGCCATGTTATGGAATGTGGAATAGGAGAACATAGACCTCACACAACCTATATATTATGTGAGAAATCTTTAAAGAATTCTGAAAAAGAAAGAGATCTAGGGGTGGTTCTAGATAGAAAACTATCAGCTGAGGACCACATAAAGAATATTGTGCGAGGAGCCTATGCCACGCTTTCTAACTTCAGAATTACTTTTAAATACATGGATGGCGATATACTAAAGAAATTGTTCACGACTCTTGTTAGGCCATAGCTAGAATGTGCAGCGGTTGTGTGGTGCCCATATCTTAAGAAGCACATCAACAAACTGGAAAAGGTACAAAGACATGCTACTAAGTGGCTCCCAGAACTGAAGGGCAAGAGCTACGAGGAGAGGTTAGAAGCATTAAATATGCTAAAACTATAAGACAGAAGAAAAAGAGGTGATATGATCACTACGTACAAAATAGTAACAGGAATTGATAAAATCGATAGGGAAGATTTCCTGAAACCTGGAACTTTAAGAACAAGAGGTCATAGATTTAAACTAGCTAAACACAGATGCCGAAGAAATATAAGAAAATTTACTTTCGCAAACAGAGTGGTAGACGGTTGGAACAAGTTAGGTGAGGTGGTGGTGGAGGCCAAGACTGCCAGTAGTTTCAAAGCGTTATATGACAAAGAGTGCTGGGAACACGGGACACCTCGAGCGTAGCTCTCATCCTGTAACTACACTTAGGTAATTACACTTAGGTAATTACCTTAGGTGGTCTGGTCAACAAAATGGGAAGATGCATCAGCACCTGGTGCATTGAGTGCAAAGTTCCCTACGCGCCGTCGACTGTTTCGCAGCATATCACACACTCGCGGAGTTCTGAGTGTGTTGATGGGTGAATGTATATAGTGTGTGATACTGTACAGTGTGTAAATATTTTGTAAATATACATAAATGAGCATGATACATTGGAAATATGTGCAAGATATGTGAACACATTTGTGATGCATGTAACACAGTGCCTTCGGACAGTACGGATGTTCTACTACCATAATATTGTGTACGTGTTCATTATACATAGGATTGGCAAGAAAAACAAATGTATTTGGAACTGTACGCAAAAAAATAAATGAACAAAAATATATTTGTGGCAACTCGCACATCTTGAACCTGGGAAGCAAATCGTGACGTTACACAACATTTTCTGGATCTCATTGTGGCCAAAGTAAGTACAAGTTTGAGTTTATTTTTACATTTCTTTAATCAGGGAAGGGTATTTAACACGTTAAAAAAATTTCCCAAGAATTGATTTCATGCACACAGGGAAAGGGGGGTGCCATAAATGGAGGCTGAGCAGCACAGTGGTTAATGAGAGACGACTTAGTTCTGGAATGACTTTTGTTGCTCCGTGTTGCATCTTCTCCAGACCAGCTATGTCCTTCTGAAAATGAGGTCTCCATGCTTGGATACGGTAATTTAAGTGGGGGTGCACCAGAGATATATACAGTTGAGCCATTACCTTCTTTTCCTTATAGTCAAAAGTACGCTTGATTATCCCAAGAGTTTGGTTAGCTTTTCTGACTGCTGCACCCACCTGTTGTGCAACTTTTAATGAGTTGTGGATTTTGACTCCAAGGTCCTCTTCATCATCAATCTGCTGTAATGTAATACTGTTAATTTGTGCAGTTAGTTGTTATGCCCTACATGCATGGTCTTGCATTTGTTGATATTAAAAAGCATTTGCCAGTCTTCTGACCATTTATGGAGTTCATGTAGATCTCTTTGTATGACTTCAATATCATTATCATTTCCCACTTTATCTAAATCTTTGTGTCATCTGCAAATTTGATGATATGGTTTGTAATATTCTCATCAATGTCATTGCTTATATATTCTATATATTGCTTCTATATATGACAAAAAGGGTAGGTCCCAAAATGGACTGTTGTGGCACCCTACTTTTCACATTTTTCCATTCAGATTAAGTTCCATTTAGCACAACCCTTTGTTTTCTTTCCTTTAACTATTGGTTTATCCATTTTAATATTTTACCATTTATTCCATGGGCCTGTAATTTCCTTGTCAGTCTTTCATGTGGTACCTTATCAAATGCTTTAGCAACATCCACTGGAAGGTCCTTTGTCTGAGAAGCTGGTTACCTTTTCCCAAAATCTAAGCAAATTTATAAAATAGGATCTGTTTCTAACAAATCCATGTTGTGTTGATTGTTCAAGGTTGTTCACTGAAAGATGATGAATGATTCCCTTCCTGAGGATTCTCTCCACGAGCTTGCAGATGTGTGATGTCAGGCTGATCGGTTGGTAGTTTTCTGCTGAGCTCTTTCTGCCTTTTTTGAAAATATGGATAACATTTGCATATTTCCAATGTATTGGAACTACCCTTTGGTCCAGAGATTTTGTGAAAAGTACTTTCAGCAGCTGGCATAGTAGTTCTGCCATTTCCTTTAAGATTTTGTATTGAATTCCTTCCATATCTGGGGCTTTTGAGCCTTTTAGTTTGTCAATGTTTTTTCTAATTATTTCACATGTTATGGGTATATCCTTAAATTCATTCTCCTCCCCTCCTTCAAACATTTGTGCGGGTGATGGGATGTCATCCAATCTTTCAAGTCTGAATACTGATGTAAAATTGTCATTTACAATGTTTGCTACCCTTTTATCATCCATTATAGATTGGTTAGTCTTGTTTTTATGAAAAAGTTGTGAACCAATAATTATAGGTCCAACTGAGCCCTTTATTTTGGTTTTACCTCTTATATAGGCATAGAACTATTTTGTATCTTTATGTTTTGGGCAATTTTTCTTTCGTAGTTACTTTTGGCTGATCTAATTTTCTGAGTGGCCGAATTTAGCGCCCTTTTGTATAACTCATAATCAATGACGTCCATCGTGGATTGATATGTTCTCCAGTGGTTCCACTTAGTTACCAATGCTTGCTTTACGACCTGTGTCATCCATCGAGTTCCTTTCTTGGTTTCTTCTTTTTTGCACATGTTTTTGAATGAGTTTTGTGATGGATGACCCTCTTGAAATTTTGCCATGATGCTTCTGTGCCATGTTCACCCATCAGCTCCCTTCAAGAGATGGTTTACAGTTCCTCTCTCATTCATGATAGTCACCTCACTGGTAATCTAGAAAGTTATCACCTAATATACTGTTACCATGTGTGGTCTCTACCACATGTTGTATGAGAAAGGAGTCCTGCACAAGGTCAAGAAATTGTTCACCTTCTGCTTGTGATGTTAGGGTGATCCAGTCTATGGTCTCATGGTTAAAGTCCCCCATTATAGAGTTTGGGTTTCAGATGCCGCATTGATCTCATTATGCAGATCCGACCTGCTGCTGCTGTGTCGGCCCTGTAGCATACTCCCACAGTCATTTTGCTACCATCCTGATTTCCTCAGTTCCTCATTGTTGGTAGCATCCAAGTCCTTTTTCACATACAGTATCACCCCATCTGCTTTTGTTGTTCTGTTCTTTCTGAATGGTGGGTGGTATCTTGGGATATAGAATTTCTTCTTCTATTCACTGTTCATTACACAGTGGGTCTGTCTGTTTCTATTGGTAGCTCTTCTGTCCCAAGTTAGAGCTCCACTGATTACATCTTTACCATACAGGTAAATCTTTTAAGTGAACAGATTCTTGGTCTAGTCAATATCTTGGTCATGCTTACAGCAAGCCATTTTATCCTTAATGCAACCAATGTTGGTTAAATTTCTTGTCTGGGGCATAATTTTTTTCATCCAACTAGGAGCCTCCGTTATGACTAATATTGTATCATTTTGAATAACCTCAGCCTTTGCCCACTGACCAAGAGAAAAAGAGAGAGTAAGGCAGGCACTGCATAATCAACTAGGGAACGAACAGCGTGTATGTGAAACATACTTAACACCGTGTCCTGCTCCAAGATGGGTCCCTGTGATTACTTTCATTATATTCAATGAAGATTTTTCTTTTATCTTCAGATATTGAATTTGTTGAATGTAATTTTAAAATCTATCCACACTCCAAGATATTGATATTGTGTGTGACACTAAAATTTAATAGAGGCATGCATAACAATCCTCATGCAGCTTTATTAAGTTCAGTGCTATACTGTACATTAATTTTCATCCCATCATCAGCACCTATGAATATTCGTCAGGAACGTGTTGTCGCTAGGCAAGTCGCGGCCCTGGAGGGAGGCACTGTCGGTGCTGACCAGTGGCAGGACAAACAAGCTGGACGTTAAGCCTATCCTTGATTACTTCGCCCCTCTCCTCACCTGGCTACAGTCACAGAACCGAGACGAGTTCATCGGCTGGAGTGAGTACCTAGGATTAGCCGCCTCTTGTTATAATAGAGATTTTTTATTCATATTCATCCTCTGACAGACGCACACACTACACTCATAGGTCACTGCAAGCATAGCTTTCATCCTGTAATTATACTTAGGTAATTAGATAATCACACACAAAAGATCCAAGCCTTTTCTATAAATTCATTAAAAGCAAGCTGCATGTAAAGGATAAAATCCAGAGATTGAGAACGGGAACAGAACTACCAAGAATGAAAAAGAAATGTGTGAAATGCTAAATGAAAAGTTCAAAGTGTTTTTGAACGAAATGAGGATTTCAGAGAGCCGGACTCGATACCAATTCCAGAGCATAACATAGAATACATAAGAGATACCTCAAGACGTAGTGGAAAAATTACTAAAGGGGCTAGGAAGAAATAAAGCGGTTGGACCTGATGGAGTTCTACCTTGGGTGCTGGAAGAATGTGCAACTGAGCTGAGCATTCCACTCTAATTAATATTCTAGACATCCTTGTGGACAGGAACCTTAGCAGATATATGGAAAAAGGCAAACATAGTACCAATCTATAAAAATGGTAGTTAATAGGAACCTCTAAATTATAGACCCGTATCATTAACAAGTGTGGTAGTCAAAACACTAGAAAAAATAGTTAAAACCAAATTGGTTGAACACAATGACATAATGACGGACAGACAATATGGTTTTCAAACAGGAAGATCCTATGTAATAAATCTACTTAGTTTTTATGATAAAGCCACATAGATTCTACAGGAAAAAGGTGGTAAGGTTGACTGTGTCTATCTGGACCTAAAAAACCAGCATTGAATGTAATGAAATGCCATTTTCTGGGCGAGACCCAGAGGCTCCCTGGAGCTATCCAGACTGATATGGATATATTAGACTGTAGCATCAATGTGAATGGAGTTCTAGGCCTACCGGGGACCACGAGTTAGAACCTGGTTTCCCTCCCTCAGAGAGTCATGAGGAGCAAAAAAAAAAATCTTTTAACATGTTAATTTGTGTTCCCTGACCACAAAAAAAAAAAAATTAAAAATTAATTATACTTACCAATGATGTAAACGAGCCAACAATATGAGCGATGATGTCACACCCTGCATGATCACTCATGCAAGGTGCTTCCCGGAGGCTTGCGCGTGGGCTTCAAGCAGCCAGAGTTGCCACAAATTTATTTTCGCGACATTATTTACAGTGTCTAGGGGTATTTTATCACAATTTTTTTTACTAATTGTATTGCATATAATGTTACTTCATGTTCAATGATAATACAACTTGCATACATTGAGTATACACATGCGCACGCAAACACACACAGAGATCACACTAACGTGATGCATCAAATGAACAAATCCACAAGGGCCATGACGAGGATTCGAACCTGCGTCCGGTAGCATCCCAGACACTGCCTTAATCGACTGAGCTACGACAGGGTAAAAGGGTTGAAACCGAAGTTCTACTGAACTTACTGGATCCCGTAGCCTCTCCGAGGCACAAACCAGGCTTTTACACAACCCCCCCCCTGCACCTGAGCTATGTCAATAGGCCGTTCTCCCTCTTCGCCCTTACATCATCACACGTGATGATGTCTGCGGTGCAAGGGAGGGGGGTTGTGTAAAAGCCTGGTTTGTGCCTCGGAGAGGCTACGGGATCCAGTAAGTTCAGTAGAACTTCGATTTCAACCCTTTTACCCTGTCGTAGCTCAGTCGATTAAGGCAGTGTCTGGGATGCTACCGGACGTAGGTTCGAATCCTCGTCACGGCCCTTGTGGATTTGCGCACGCAAATGTTTTCAATTGTGCCAATATAATATGTATTCACATTGTTCATTATTATTTACACATATCCACACACTATTTACAGGTTTTTGCACTATTATTGCACATTTAGAAGTCTTGGAGACAGTGGTAGTCGTTGAAGCAGATGACAGCACACAATGGGACTACACACGCTTCACACCATGTTTGCACCAGTTGAAGCGTGTGTAGTCCCATTGTGTGCTGTCATCTGCTTCAACGACTACCACTGTCTCCAAGACAGCACACAATGGGACTACACACGCTTCACACCATGTTTGCACCAGTTTACGTTTCTCTCTCTTTTTTGTTGTTCTACAAACTAAGCAATCACATTGGCCTATTGCACGCTTTCCAGATGGTGGCAAATGTTTTAGTCTGTGTGTTTGAAAGCCTCCCATGTAAGTGAGCTTGGGTGTAGCAGCATGCTGCAACACTGGGTTCATGATGGGTCTTTGTATGCCAGGAACATCTTTGCCAATCTTTGTTAGTAACTGCGTCACAAGTGTAAAAGCAAACGAACGGAAACTTGGTTTACGTCTAGTTTTCACCAGATACATATTATAGCAGTTCAGCATGCTCATGTCAACAAGATGGAAAAACACTTTTTCGCCCACTTCAATGTTTTCCGCACTCACACTCGACAGTGCCCACCATTATGTCAGATTTATCAAACAAGCGCATGTTGATATTATAGTCAAGAACACAATTTGGCTTATATACTGGTTCTTGCATTACTCGGTTCACCTTGCCACTGTTAACCATTATACCATCATGAACGGTTGTCAGCAGGTTCACTTCTCTCTTGTCTTTCCACCTAACTGAGAGTATTTTATCATTTTTTCTTAGCTGGCAGTCACCAACTTCAAGATTATTGTCAAACTCTGGCATTTCCCTTCTTCTTGGCTTTACTGTGCCAACCATTCCAGTTCAATTATCAATCATGAACCTAGCTAGCAAGGGACTTGTATAGTAGTTATCCGTGTATAAAATGTGGCCCTTGTTCAGCCATGGTGCCATCAGTGACTTCACCACACTACCTGAGAAACCATGTTGGTCGTTACCGGGAATGTCTACATAGCTAGCAGAATACAGAATCATGTGTAACACGTATCCTGTTTCACAGTCACAAAGAACAAAGAATTTCAATCCAAATCTGTTGTGTTTGGAGGGAATATACTGCTTGAAGGCAACACGTCCTTTGAAAAGCACAAGGGATTCATCAATAACCAGCTTCTGTGCTGGTACGTAGGAATTTCTGTACTTTCCAATCACTTCATTCATAATGTGTCTGACTCTCCAAAGTCTATCATCCTCTATCCGGTTTTCATTACTTGCAAAATGAAGACACCTGAGGAATATCTGAAACCTGTCTCGGGACATATATTTCCCGAACAAAGGTGCTGGAACAGTCTGGTCTTTGCTCCAATAATTTGTGACAGCGTGTTTGACACAATGTTTCATCAACATACATAGTACCAAAAATACATACATTTCACCTACAGTAGTGTTTTTCCAATGCTGTAATCGTGAAAATTCTCTTATATTTTTTCCAATGAGATGAGCCGCATGAAGGTTCATTTGGTGTACAATATATTCCATGAGCGTCTCATCATAAAATGCTGTAAAATAGTCTATTTCACACATGTCCTCACCAGTATCAGGGAAAAGGTCTGTAATCCCAACGTCTTTATTGTCCAAGGCAGGAATTAGGGGAACAAAATTGTCACCATCACTCTACACAAATACACCTGGTGTCCTGCGAGATGAAACAGCGGCACGACGGCGAGGAATCGTTGCACACTGTGAACCAGGAGCTGAAGCCCGTCTATGCAAAGTACGGGTGATACATAAACGTGAGGTAAAATCACGTGAATATGAGGGTCTTGGTTCCTCATGTAGTGCCATGCAGCGGCGCTTGGCTGGGCGAGAGACTGCTGACGCAACAAAAATCTCACTTGGTAACACTACTGGCACTAGTGACAGGTGTGGTAACACTGTGCTCTGAATCCACTTCACTAGAACCAGAAAATGAGTCACCTTCCTCTGACTCGTCGCCCAAAATATCCTCATACTCTAAATAAGTACAAGAACTGTGTGGTCGTGGGTGAATTGGAGTAGACACTGGGCGAGGCAGGACCGATGAGCGTGTAGGCCTCGCCCTGGGAGCGGGCTGTATCTCATATTCACTGTCTGTGCTATCATTGGTCAATTGAGTGTAGTCCTTTTCAATGTCAGAGTCATCAAAATCACTTTCCTCGCTATCAGAAAATAATTCACTGGTTATTTGCTCTTCAGTAAGTGACTGCGTGCCTGGGAGGCATTTGGCCGTGCGTTTGTCATGGTGACTGCTGGATAACTGAAGCCTCCCATGCATTGGTGGCTAGAGCAGGATTTTTTTACAAAATGGCGGCTGTTTACTATAGCCCCTGGGCAGCGTATGGGCCCCCCCCCCTACCCCTGGTTGATACCTGGTTGATGGGGTTCTGGGAGTTCTTCTACTCCCCAAGCCCGGCCCGAGGCCAGGCTTGACTTGTGAGAGTTTGGTCCACCAGGCTGTTGCTTGGAGCGGCCCGCAGGCCCACATACCCACTGCAGCCCGGTTGGTCCGGCACTCCTTGGAGGAATAAATCTAGTTTCCTCTTGAAAATATCCACGGTTGTTCCGGCAATATTTCTTATGCTTGCTGGGAGGACGTTGAACAACCGCGGACCTCTGATGTTTATACAGTGTTCTCTGATTGTGTGTGACCCCACTGGTCATTCAAATCTTTCGCGGTATTCCATCACTTCATATGATGTGTTGCGCAATTTTGCGTAAGTTAATCAACACGTCATATGACGTGTTGCACAGTTCAAGGGTTAACCAAAGACAAAAACAAAAGGGACTTACCCAGGAGGCAGTCGACACTCGCTCCACAACAAGGAGGTCAAGGCAACTGGCTGCAACTGCCGACCCAAAATGACACGCCCGACGAGGCCCAGGAACGTTTACAAGGTAGCGAGCAGCCAGGACCCTGTTCGACCTCCAAAATCCCCATGCCCGAATATCAGCCCAAGACATGTTAGCAGCCAGTTGAACAAACTTACGAACGTTGTGGGCACGAGGATAGACTGCTGGATGGCTGTACCGAATAACTCTGCGGATGTCCTGGGAGACCCGAATCCTCGAACAGGGAAGGAGGGAAACCGGGTCAACCCAAAGCGCATCCCCAGCCACCGAGGCTGTTGCGCACAGGTAACGGCGAGAGCCACGACCAGACACAACACACGATGCACCATCCCCGGCCTAACCAGCCAAGCATTAACAACCCAAGGGCCCCTTCAGAAAGCAGCAGTCTCATTCTTCGCCAGAAAAGGAGACGGCTGCAAATGAACAAACCTACCCTAGGACGAAAAGAGCAGAAACCTCTGCACCGGAGAAGAGCATAAAGCTCCCCGACCTGACCCTCAGAGGCTGATGCCAACAGGAAAAGAGCCTTGGAAAAATGATCCTGAATCGAAGGGGCAACACAAATTGAGGCAAAGAGAGAGCACCTAGTCCAACGACCAGGATGGTTCGGGCGGCGTTGTTTCACCTTGTCCAACGCACAAGCTGTCTTGTGCGTTGTTTTGAAACAACGCACAAGACAGCTTGCGGAACGGCGCAGAAGTAACATCAATGCTAAATGCAAGCTGCAGCGGCTCCGCCAGCGCTCCACGATACGAGGCGACAGTATTCTTGTCCCTACAAAGGGACAAGAAATAAAGGAAAGACCGCCAGGAAACTTCATACTGCTGCCGAGACAAAGCACTCAGGTGGGACACCATCAACAAAGCCACCTGCTCACCATACAAGTGGTGATAGACTCGAGTCAGAAACACTAAACTCGAAGACTTGAGAAGATTGAACCAGCCACTTAATGAACTGGACCGATCTGCTGAAAGAGGCGAAGCTGCAGGAAGACCCTTGGCTTTGCACACCGAGCAAGCAGTACTTGAAACCAAAACTGGGCCAGCCACCAAGGAGCCAAGAGGACTACACTCCCTTGGTAGGTTTCCAAGCGAGCTAGGACCTGGAACAACAGCGGAACCGGGGAGAAGAGATATAGGTAACCCCACCTCAACTAGTCCTGCCGCAAGGCATCAACCCGGACGGCCTCACAATTGGGGAAGGGTGCCACTTATACCGGGAGACACCACGTCCATGCCGACGCGAAGAAGTTCACCTCTGGGAGCCCGTACGTCTGGCAGGGCCAACTGAATGAGTCGGCATCGACCATTCATTCCGTGGACAGGGAAATGAACCACGACAGGCCATCTGCCAGGATGTTGGACACCCCTCGAACGTGAACGGCCAGAGAGTCAAACCCCGAGAACTCAGCACACGAGTCACCCGAAGCGACCAGCTCCAAAGAGCCAAGGACCGCATTGAATTTCTGCGGTCCAGGCAATGAACCACTGGGGAGCAGTCCAAATGGAGCTAGATCAACGATCCGCGAGCGACCCGAACCCTCTGAACGACATCCACACTGCTGCAAACTCCCGCACCGTGCTGTGTGCACGACAGAAGGACAGACCACACCGCCCTTGGCCTGCCTGGTGAACACTGGTCACAAAGCTCCAGCCAAGAGACGATGCGTCCATGAACATATTGAGCGAGGGCTCAGGTAGGTGCCAAGGCAGTAAAACCCCAACGAAAACCCCACCCCTGTAACAGTAAACCCCAATCAGAGGGCACAAAATCCCAAGCGGGTCCAACAGGGCCCAAGACCCCCAAGTCAGCCCCTCCCCCACCCTGGGAAGCTCCACAGCAGGACCCAGTGCCGAGCCATCCTTCAAAGCCCCGGCCTCACAATAAAAAGCTGTGGCAGTTGTAAAATTAGGAAGGAAGGAAGGGGGCTCCCAAGGTCATACCCATACACTTCAGCAGGAGGAACTGGCTTGAATGCCACCGTCACCACCACCAGAAGGGACATCCCCCGAGACTGCCCGAGTTTCCAACCCAACTAAACCCTACCCCGACTCCAAAACCCTCAGATGCTTCAGAGCTGGAAGCGGGGGAAAGGGAAGAACCAGAACGAACCACAGCAGGGTAAGGACGAGAGAGCACGGACTGAACCAAGGTCGAAGCGACCAACACCCCTAAGTCTGGGTCCCTATAACCAAAACGGGGCAGCCTCGGGGCTTCCGGGTCAGCAACCAACTTAGTGCTTTGCAGCAACTTAAACTTAGCATGCAACGCTTGAGCTGCCTGCAACCGAAGCAGGGAGCTGCCTGCAACCGTTGGCTTCAGGGAGCCAACGGGGCTGCCCCATTAAAGTCTCAAAAACTATCGGTATACTCTCTAAGATCAGATATTATGTTCCCCACTCTGCTCTCCTCTCATTATACTACTCGCTAGTCTATCCATATCTTACATATGGTATTTGTGCATGGGGTTCAACCACTGCAAATTACCTCAAGCCATCATCACCCCAGCAATTATCTGCTATCAAAACTATAACAAACTCTGTCTTCAGACAAGACACAGCTCCTCTGTTTAAATGCCTAAACATACTAAACACTCCACACATTCTCTTGTGCTATTCACTTACAAAATGAAATGCTTGTCTCTAAATGTTAATCCCAATCTGAAACTCTTCCTTGATTGGTTTAATAGAATCCATGAGCACCACACCAGAAATAAATATATCTTTGATATCTCCAGGGTCAGACTAAATCTGAGCAAACAATCCATGCAAATAAAATGACCCAGTCTATGGAACTCGCTCCCTAATGAATTAAAAAATTGTCCAATCTATGTCTTATTCAAAAGTAAAACCAAATAAGGCCTTTCATCCTCATTGTTTCCTACTGTGTGCTTCAAATTCACACTATCTTGTGCTACCCACTCCCCCAATATTAGTACTTATGACATACGTCACCACTGTAATCATCTGTCAATTTATATTGTAGCTATGTTGAATCCAAATTTTGCTACAATGTACCTCTTATTAATTTACCTTACCTGTTAGACTAAAGACCTGCCCAAAATGCTATGAGTGTTGTGGCTTTGCAAGAATGTAAGAACACTAGTGTTATGTACTGTCGCAAACCCAATGTACTTCTTGTATATAAATAATAATAATAATAATAATAAAGAAACAGCGTTGAATGTAATGAAACACCATTTTCTAGGCGAGCTCCAAAGGCACCCCCTGGAGCTTATCACGCTAATGTGTTTTATATTAGACCGGGACATTAGCTATGGATTTCGGACCTACCGAGGACCACGAGCCAGAACCTGGCCTCTTCAGAGAGGTTTTTGGGAGCATTGGCCCTGGAATCCCCCCATCCCCTGTGGTTGGGGTTTTTCCTTATCTGCCATCGACCGGGGTCGATGAAAGAACTTTCAGTGTCAGAGTAGTTAGTAAATGGAATGTACAAGGCAGCGATATGGTTGGGGCAAACTCCATACATAGTTAAAATGTAGATATGATATAGCCCAATAGGCTCAGAATCCTGTACATCAGTTGATTGACAGTTGAGAGGCATGACTAATGAGCCAAACCCTCGCAAGCACAACTAGGCGAGTACAATTTCAAATGTTGATATGATAGAGCGAAATTGGCTCATGAACTTGTATACCCGTTGACTGACAGTTGAGAGGCATGACCAAAGAACCGAAGCTCAACTCCTGCACGCACAATTGAGTAAGTAAATAAAGGGGACAAAAATATTCTGAACAACTGTAACTCTTACTTCAGATTTATGGAGCCCAACCACTTGGACTGGTCGGTACAGCGGCGGCCTCAGTTCTTGCAGGTCGACATTCTATCCCTGATGGTCCAAGTAGTTGGGAGTGCTCTTTTCCTCTGTCCTTATTCTCATGTCACTTTAAAGTGCTATATAATATAGTCATATTGGCTTAGTGCTTTCTCCTCATGATTATCTTAATTTCAGATGTGTTGTATTCTCTTTAGTGTGTGCATTTTGAATCATGTGTATCGTGAGGCATAGCTATGTTGATTCTCAGATTTCCAACGCATTAATTAGCAGTGATACAACAGATAGGTATTAAATATATCAACACTTAATAGAACATGAAACAATGGATATAATTTGGGTAAGTTTAGATTTAGGAAAGACCTGGGTAAATACTGATTTGGTAACAGGGTTGTGGATTTATGGCACAAATTACCGCATAACATAATAGACATAGGGTCCCCTTGTTTCAAGCGTAAGTAAGACATATACATGAATGAGTTTGGGTAGATATATACAGGAGCTGCCATGTATTGGCCAATAGGCCTTCTTCAGTTTTCTTGATTCTTATATAATATTAATGAGTAATAATGCCGTATTCCCTTTTCCATAACTACCATCACTTCTCCATCATCATTTACCACTGGCATTCCCACCATTACAACACTATCACCACTACTGCTACCTTTAATACCATCATCACTACCTTTGCCACCATTACTACTACTTTCACCACTACTATTACTGCATTACCACTATCATTACTGCCCCTGCAGGAGAGAGTGAGGCCATCGTGCAGCCGGTGAGGACATCCAGTAACTCCATGATCACGGGGATCGTCTTGGGCACCGTCGCTCTGCTGCTTGTCCTAGTGGCCATCATCGTCATTGTTAAGAAGATCAGAGGCACAGGAAAAAACTTCAGTGCTGTAGCCGAGGGAACCTGAGGCTGTGCCCACTCGAAGTCTGAGGTCAAAATTATCGAAGAGGATTTGGGAACAATTTAAAGATTCAAAGTCATTAACTGAATGGTTTCTACCCATTTTTGAAGTTAAAGAAAAAAAAAGGAAAATTTCATTTTACTTGTGGCCAATACTTAATAAGAATACAGTTTGTATGTATTACAATAAAATGTATTTTTCTTTTTACATTGACTAACATTTATTGAATGCTCATAGATAAGCAAAAATATATGTTTTGAAAATCACAACTATCTTTTGTAATTTGACAAACTATAAATATGCAAGCCATCAGTTTAAATTTAAAATACCTGTGCATTTTACAGGAAAATTTCCTCCTCAGAATTCGGGTGTCAAAAGAATGCCCGAGCAATGCCTATTATGTGGATCTCGTACAGTGATGCTGTTTATGTGTCTATTTATGCTTGTGTGTTGTGGCACAGAGAATGGTGTTCACACGGGTGATGTTCCATGTTGACAGGTGGAGAGAACGAGCATGTTGCTCCACTGTACAAAAGGCCAGGCAGTCAGCTGTTGCCATATGAGACATCTGAAGTTGAACATTATTTGTGTAACTGCAGTATTGCTGAGTAGTTGCAGAGTTAGTTTATGTAGCTACAGTATGTTGTGTATTTGCTGCAACATTACTGTATATAGCTGCAACATAAGTGTGTGTGCTGCTGCAACATCATTGTGCACCTCTGTACGAAGCGTCAAGGTAGTCACCAAGCTACCGTGGAAGGATTTTAAGCAGAGTTAAACACCGTTTGTGCATCCATATTGATCAACAGCTTTCTTTGTTATGCTGGATATGGTTGGGGTTATGGTGCTGTCACCTTCAGAGAGACCCACAAGGCCATCAACTTCAATGGCCTCTCAAATCATCACAATTGGGATATTGTTATCCCAATATGCACAGAGATCCTTGGCAACTTGGGTAAATGTGCACCCCCAGGTCTTGAATGTGTTGAGCAATACACTAGGTAGTTGCAAGCTGTGCACATGCCTTACCTCTTTGTAGCTATAGTGTCAGATATGTAATTGTTAATGTCTATGTGAGTTGATCAATCTTCATTCTATTACACCTGTGAATTTAAGTATTAAATAACTATTTATGTGAGGCAAATGGGGGTGATAGGATAAAATATCTTTGTTTCTCCTTAAGGAGAAACATTTAGAGAGAAAATCATGTTATGGAATTGTCTTAAAGAAAAAGTTAAGAAACATAATTTTTTGGATCCTATGGGTCATTACATTATGTTTAAAAATGGTTGTACAGTGTGTAATTTTCTAAGTATAATTACCTAAGAGTAGTTACAGGATGAGAGAGCTCATCGTTTCCCGTCTTCACGGCACTCTTTGTCACATAAAGCTTTGAAACTATTGATGGTTTTAGCCTCCATCACCTTCTCACTTAGCTTGTTCCAACTGTCTACCACTCTGTTTGCAAAAGAAAACTTTCTATTTGTGTTTGGCACCTTTGTTTTCTTAACTTGAATCTGTGTCCTCTAGTTCATGATGATGCTGGTTTCAGGAATTCCTCTGTCAATTTGGTTGATTCCTGTTATTATTTTGTAAGTGGTGATTTGTGTGTTTGTGTTAACTTGATACTGGTTTGTCTTTGTCTACCCATATATCTTACCTCCGAGTTGAATACTCTTAAGCGTTTACTATCCAGAGCATGTATGTTGAAACAGATGTATTGTCTCTCCCAGGACCTTTTCCTGGAACATTTTTCTTTACACTCGCATTCTTTTCCATCATCAGCAGTCCATTCTCTTAGTGGTCGACTCTCATAGTGCTCTGATGACCGTGGAATCGTTGAACCCTATACATCCTGTGGTAGTAGAAATCCAATATTGGCCATTTCTTATCTCTAGCAAATTTAAACAGGTTGAGTTTTGCTGGGTTCCCAGCCATGTTGACATTTCCTTAAATGAGCATGTGGACACCGCCGCTAAGGAGGCTATCCGCACTTTTCCTCTTTCCCGAAAGGCATTCTTTATTCAGATTTATACTTAAGTCATTCAGTCCTCAATCCATGCCGTTTGGCAGGGGTCATTGGTCTTCTGTTACTGATAACAAACTGCGTATTCTCAAGATACAGTATGTTCAGAATGTCAGTGTGTGTGGATATATTGTTTTGAGAATGTGTGTACATGTGTTTATAGATATGGTGTGTTGAGAATGTCAGCATGTCATTATTGGCCATTGGCTATACTATTGGAAATTGGCTATTGGCCATTGTATCCACAATTGCCAATAGGCTATTGTAGATACAATGTGTCGAGAATGTCAGTGTGTGTGTGTGGATACAATGTGTCGAGAATGTCAGTGTGTGCGTGGATAGTGTTATAATCTTGTCTTATTATTCACAACACTAGCATTTTTACCCATAGTGCAACAATGCATTTGTTGAGGACTTGCACATTATGTTAGCCATAAACCAGCTGTGTATCTACTGAACTTAATAACTCACAAGTTTGATCAGAATGGAGTATACGAACAAATTTTAATATATTCTCTTTTCTTTGATATTGTAGTTAACCTTTAAAGGAAGTCTCATAGAAACATGTTTACTTTATTGCTCATCCAAAATAAATAAGGTCATTAAGTTATTACAAATAAGGTAGTTATTAATATTTGATGCATTCCTTAAAGGCATGACATGAATACTACATCCAACAATAACACAATTAGCTACAATTAGCACAATAGCTACAATTAAGTAAAAAAAAAAAAATTGCAACTTAATTATGGTAAGAGGGAAACAGTAAACACACTTTAAGTGGTTTCACCATTAATGCACACCTTACAATATTTGTACTGCCATAAGCTTTCAACAATCACACAGGAAAGTTTGGCTCTAAAAATCTGGTTGAGCTCCTTTGTAAAACACAACAGGCCTTATCCATTTGTTAAATTTTTTCTTCACACCCATTGCCTAGGTAAAGCCCAAAGTATCATTTAATTTTAACTGTCGGAACACAGGTTACAATGAATGCATGTTATCAGTTGTCACAATGACATTAACAGCACTACATATGAGGGTAGTTTGACATTTTGGCATTAAAACATGTACAGAAATCTTTTTAAATAAATGATGTATATTTTTTGCTCCTTTGTTTTTTTGCCATCTACCACCCTGTACAACAAAGACATGTAAAACTTTCCATTACTAGGACAAATTGATAAAGATTGATATGCTTAAAGCTTAAACAGTGTGATTGAAGAGAAGTATAAAATATCCAAACTAAAACAATCAAGACAAAGCTACCTTTCTAAATAAAAATATGTAATTATGTAATTATCAAAAGAAGACATCAAGCTGGGAAGTTATGTGGCTTGACCTGTTTTGCTAGATATTCAAAAAGAGGCTAAATATCACTCAAGATGTCATATGAGAACAGGACAAAGTAAGTTATATCAAAGTATTGGATTCACCAAGGATTCTATCATAAGATAATTAACCCCTAGGGACATCGGGAAAGCAATCATCCTGAATATTCAGGCATTCTACAAGGAGGTGCATGACAATGCAGTTTGGACAAAAGGGAGCAGGATGTTCCATTAAATGACCAAGAGTTAAGTGGGTATGACTGATAAGCAACTTCCACAAAGTCGTCTCCCATTACCTAATACTGTAGTAGAACAGTTATCCGGGAGCCACGGGACAGCCAGGTCAGGATGTATCCCTCCTGTCTGACATAGACCAAGTCCTAAGGATTAAGTGTTACCCAAGTGTAATTACCTAAGTGTAGTTACAGGATGAGAGCTACGCTCATGGTGTCCCGTCTCCCCAGCACTCTGTCATATAACGCTTTGAAATTACTGACGGTTTTGGCCTCCACCATCACGTCACATAACTTGTTCCAACCGTCTACCACTCTGTTTACAAAAGTGAATTTTCGTATACATCTCCGGCAGCTTTGTTTCGTTAGTTTAAATCTATGACCTCTTGTTCTTGAAGTGCTGGGTCTCAGGAATTCTTCCCTATCAATTTTGTCGATTCCTGTTACTGTTTTGTACGTAGTGACCATATCGCCTCTTTTTCTTCAATCTCTAGTTTTTGCATATTTAATGCTTCTAACTTCTCCTCGTAGCTCTTGTCCTTCAGTTCTGGGAGCCACTTAGTGGCATGTCTTTGCACCATTTCCAATTTGTTGATGTGCTTCTTAAGATATGGGCACCACACAACCGCTGCATATTCCAGCTTTGGTCTAACAAAAGTCATGAACAATTTCTTTAGTATTTCTCCATCCATGTATTTAAAAACAATTCTGAAGTTAGAAAGTGTAGCATAGGCTCCTTGCACAATGTTCTTTATGTGATCCTCAGGTGACAGTTTTCTATCTAGAACCACCCCTATATCCCTTTCTTTATCAGAATTCTTTAAAGATTTCTCACAAAATTTATAGGTTGTGTGGGGTCTATGTTCTCCAATTTCACATTCCATAACATGGCATTTATAAACATTTAATTCCATTTGCCAAGTGGTGTCCATATACTTATTTTGTCCAGGTCTTCTTAAAGGGTATGACAATCATCTAGGTTTCTTATCTTCCCTATTATCTTAGCATCATCAGCAAACATGTTCATATAATTCTGTATTCCATCTGGTAGATCATTTATGTAGACAATGAACACTACCGGTGCAAGAACTGAACCCTGTGGTACTCCACTTGTGACATTTCTCCAATCCGATACATTGCCTCTGATTACTGCCCTCATTTTTCTATCAGTTAGAAAATTTGTCATCCTTATTAGAAGCTTACCTGTCACCCTCCAATATGTTCCAGTTTCCAGAACAACCTCTTATATGGAGCTATGTCAAAAGCCTTTTTTAGGTCCTGACAGATGCAGTCAACCTAGCCATCTCTTTCCTGTAAAATCTCTGTGGCTCGATCATAGAAACTGAGTAAATTTGTTACGCAGGATCTTCCAGATCGAAAACAATACTGTCTGGCTGATATTATATAGTTTTTTTTCAGGTGTTCTACCCATTTAGTTTTTATTATTTTTTCCAATATTTTGACTATTACACTTGTCAATGATACTGGTTTATAATTGAGGTCTTCCCTGCTGCCACATTTGTAGATTGGAACTATGTTAGCCTTTTTCCACACATCAGCTACAACTCTTTTTACACAGGGATGCCTGAAAAATCAGTTGAGTGGAATGTTGAGCTCAGGTGCACATTCACTCAGAACCCATGGTGAAACTCCATCTGAACCAACTGCTTTGTTCT